TTTTCTGAATGTCCATGTTACTAATATTTTATTAATAACATTTGATTGTCATTATGCTGTTAAACATTATGTAATGTTGCATCAAAATTTGAAGAAACCCCTATTTTGGGTACTGCTCCTATGATGACCATTTAAGGGAAATCATGTCACTTACTGTTCTCAAACTTACAGGAAAGAAACATGGGTCTAACATACAGCTTCAATAGGCAACGCAGTCTGTTTTGTAAATTTTTCTGGCAATTTAACAGTTTTTTGTGAAAATTTAATTTTTCACTTATTTGCATCTCTATTTTCTGTTCTTTGTCTGTACATTTGACAGCTTTGCTGCCTTGTTCTTTAAACTCATAACTCTCTCTCTCTCTCTCTCTCTCTCTCTCTCTCTCTCTCTCTGTGTGTGTGTGTGTGTGTGTGTGTGTGTGTGTGTGTGTGTGTGAGAGAGAGAGAGAGAGAGAGAGAGAGAGAGGTATGTACAAGGGCACATGCAGGCTGCAGAAGACAAGTATACACTCAGGTTAAAATCAGACGCAGGTGCCTTCAGAACGACCTTTGAAACTACGAAATTTCTTGCAACAGTATGTATGTTTGTTTTAGTTGGCTTCTCCAGTTCACTTATAATTATTGCTCACCCCAAGTGCCAGACCCAACTTTGGAATTCCATTAGACACGTAAACATGGCGAGAAGTGGATAACTAAATGTGATAACCAGGGTTATGTGGAAAGTACATGGCAAACATGTTTAAAAGCGATACGGAATGTTATTCATGGAAGAGAACCCTTCTTTTAACTGGTAACGTAAGTGCCAGGATACGCTTGAAGTGCCGTGTTCTGAAAGTGTCCATATAGCGCCTTCCAATTGCGGAGAAACACCTGTCTCCAGATTGCTCTCCTCGCTCTGTCCTTGTTCCCTCCCAGATTTCAGTTCACGGATTTGAAAAAAATTAAATAAAAAAATTAAAAAGAATAAAAGATTTAGCAACAAATCTGAAATGTTCGTCCATCGGGGGACTGCACGCCGTACGAAGGCATTTCATCCTGGACGCTAGGTTCATTAGCAAGTATATGCGCGGAGTTAGAGCGCGTGCCCACACCCACGAACGGACACGTATTCATACATACTTGCGTCCACGCGTCCGTGCATGCATGCATATTTACATACCAGCACACACTTGCTTAACCCTGGAACTGCGCAAAGTCGTTTATTTGATAAATAGGTTACTAATTGCTAACCTATTAGTGCCGTTTCACCGAAGAGATCCTCAAACCAAAGAGGAAATTCGCTTTGAAAAGTTAATAATGCGTGAAGAGCCTCCATTCACTGGTGCTTAACGTTGTTAGACTAGCATGGGCTTAGTCAATTTGTCAGTTTAAGCAAAAGTTCGTGAAATTTGTGCGACGATAAAAATATCTTGGCCTCTTTGACAATATTTCCTGTACCTCTTTTCATTAATTTTTCCAGCTCTTAACTTAGAGGAGCCCTACGAATTTATGTTTTTAAGTCAATATTTTACTCAAATTGCTTAGGACAAGTGCACGGCAACATGCCAAAATTCCTTGTATTTTCTCTTCACAGAAATATTATTCTTATGTCAGGGAAGAAAACTTGTTTTTCTTAAAAAAACAAGGACGTGACACGCCATTTGAAGACACGCAGGACTACAGATAAATTAATACGTATCTGACGAGCAGTCTCTTTGGGCGAAATGTCGACGGGATTTTCGGTATCGCTTCTTGGCAATTTGTCATATATATTTTTTTTTTTTACTTAATGAACGAATTTCAGTAAATGTCAGTACTTGGTGTTATACTTCAGTATCTACAAATAAGAGGTGTTACTCCGCACGATTTGTTTCTCTAGTTGTTTTTCTAACTTGACAAACGGGATATTAAGGACAACCGCCCCGAGTTCACCGTCTAATTCTACCGATTTACTCCTACTTTTCCAACGGGCTGGAGAAAAATAATTAATTCTGGTATTCTATAGTCAAAATGCAATACACATTTTGTGCTTCAAAAATCATAAATAAGTAATAAACGTATAGACATTATATGTATCTTAAAGTACGCTAACAATATTGTGCAAAAGCAATATGGGATTGACGGCGATAAATAATAAAATAGATTTAGATTTCAGGCCTATTCTTTGGAAGACGTATTAAGCCAAGTCCACTACTTTCCGATTCAGCAGCGGAGAAAATTTGTAACGATGTTAATTCCCAGCATCATTAACACTCAATAATCTTAGTTGCTGAACCTTTCATTGGCCCCCAGCAAATTAATGCCAAAACTCGCAACGGGGCTATATTCCGAGTCCAAAGGCAATTCATATCCTGAAGCACTCCGGGGCTAATTGCCGCAGGTTTTCACAGCGGGATGCGAGTTTTAATGGCACAAACATTCCACCCTTGAAGTAAAGAGCAACATTTTATGAGTGGCTTCCCGATTGGGATTCGAATTTCGGATTTAATCAGTGTATTATGACGTAATAAGCCGGGCTATCATTACGCCGGCCCGCCGCTTGTAAATTATAAATCAAACATGGCGATCTCCCTTAAAGTGGCCATTGTTCGTTTACCAGTAGAATTAGCTAATCTAATCATGTTCTGTTAAACTAGCAGAGAAGATACGAGGAATTAGCTCGAAGTATTACGGCATTATATTCCTTAATTCACACACCTGTTTCATTATGATTTTCAATACAGTTGACTCAGATTTTGTAGAGCACCTGGCCGAGAACTAAGTTCAGGTCACCCAAAGACTTCACTGAGTTTATTGCTCAAGGTAATGTGTTCGCCACGGAAACACGTAATCGAAAACGCCCTTTTTTCAACC